TAACGGTTGATCTTATAAGTACTTCCGGCTCTCCAGAGACCCAGTGGATCTGTGTTCTGTAGAATCTCTGATCTGGGCCTGAGTTTTTTCATCAAACTGCACCCCATGCAATTCTGTATTCCCAGCCAGTCTCCTCTGAGTGGTCCTGTGCTGATTGGGGGGCAGATCAGCTGTCCTTGCTGTGTCCCAGTGATCCCCTGGTGGGCACATCTCCCCCACTGCCCATGCTCCAAACACTTCCCATGGGATGGGCCCTGCACTGGCCCCTTGCAATGACTCACTGGCCTCTTAATGGCTCCTTTTTTTCAGTTGTTCTGGCTCCTCACTCCTGCGTGGGTCCATGGGAACCCTATTAGTGGTCTTGCTGTCCTAGGGGCCGCCGAGACCCTCTTCTCTCTTGCTGACTCCAAGTAACTCCATCTGAAGGGCACAGCTACGGCTTCTGCCAGCTCCTGCTCCATGTGCTCATCAGCTCAAGCCTTAAAGCAACCACGGCCCGAAATGCTCAGAGCAGCTTTTTCTTTCTCTCATTGTAGTTTCTCCCGCCTTCATGAACTCCGTAGGTCTCTCCTCCTCTTCCCCTGAGCTCCAGCTGCCCCAGCTTGGCTGATGTTACATTTTTATGGTTGTAAATTTGGTTGATTTGTGGGAGAGAGTGATGCTGCAGAATTCTGCTATCTTGACTGGATCTCCCCAGAGATTGTGCATTTCTAAGAAGCCCTTAGGTAATGCCTGTGCAGGTAGTCCAGGGACCCCATTTTGTATCTTACCCTGGGTAACTCATAAAATGCTTCAATTTGGCTTCAAATCAAATTCTTTAAAAATAATTTATAATCCTTGAATCTTTAATGAACATATACAGAGGACCTAGTATGATCTAGACCAGGAAGTGCTAAAGTGTCTCCAGACCAGCAGCATCAACATTACCCGGGAATTTATTAAAACAGCAAACCCTTGGGCCTCACCCCAGACTTACTGAAGCAGAGACTCTGGAGGTAAGGCTCAGGAGTGCGTTTTAAATAGCTCTCCAGATGATTCTGAGACACACTACATTTTGAAAACCACTGCTCTAGACAACATGCTGAGGGTGTGTGGTGCAATTCTGTGTAAGTGACTCTCCTTGCTTTCAAGAATATCACTACAGTAGGAAGGGGTTGGGTTGCTGAACAAGTAAATACCATTAAGTATGTGATGATTACAAAAACAGAATGATGGACAAGGTGGCAACAGAGGATAGAAAGTTTTCCTAGAAAAGGTCATGGTCATATGAGCTGAGTTTCGTAGGGAATTAGCCATCTGAAGACAATGGCATGTACAACACAATGCAAAGGTAATGTAGGAGAAAGCTTGGCACCTTTGGAAGACTGCAGGTAATTTACTCAAGATGGCTGAGTGTGAGGGGTTTGAGGATTTCCATCCGTGTCGCTTCTCAACTGTCAAAAAATAAAACAAACCACTGAAGCTAAAAAAACCTAAACAGCTGGGTCTATTAACTTGCCAGGTAAAGGAACCCATCCCATGAAGACTTGCACTTTTTTCAATGAGGAGGGAAAATCAGAAGTTTTTAAGTGCTTTTAGAAAGGGGGAGTTCATAGGAGTTATGCTAATTAAGCACTGGAAACTGACACTCTGGATACAGGCCAGAATGTATATATATGTATAAGTGTGTATATTTATATATATACACAAATATAACAAATAAATATCCTGTTGTTCATTAGTCAGTCTTCAGTTAGATCAGTAAGGAGAATCTGTCTTTCCAGGATTGCTGAGGCTTATGGGCCCTTATCAGCTTTAGCCTTATCAGCTTATGACACAACAGTCAGTTGACAACTCCTAGGCAAGCTGTACTTTAAGTGGAAAATTTTCCTTTGCGACCTCTCTTTGTCATCTTTCCTCATCCTGAGATGCCGGGATGACCATGCAAAGGATAAGCAAATGATCCAATTGTCAGCTCTCCACCACCATCTCGGTTTTGGGTGCCATTCTCACAAGATTCCATTGTGTTTATCCAAGTGGTTTCAGCCTCCTTTTGATGTGGTATACTCGGACTGTGCAACGGCAATTAAGGTCATGTAAACAAACACTTAAACAAACACACCCTTTACACTCTCCCTAAGTGACAGCAACCTCAGACCTACTGAACCAGCCTCTAGGTGTAAGGCCTGAGAGTAGCTCTAAAGATACCTATGAGCAGCTGTAAAGATAAAAGAAAAACAAAAGAACGTGGAAGCCTGGGCCAGGGAGTTTCCAAGCAGGGGAGAATGGTCGGCAGTGTAAAATATGACAGATAAGTACAGCAGGATGAGGACAGAAAAGTGTTCACATACTTGTTCACATACTTTGACAAGTGCTGTGATCTCAGAGCAGTTTCAGAGGACTAAGGATGAGGGATGTGGAAGAATAAACAGAAGTGTGGAAATAGGGACTGGAAGTGCTCAATATTCTCTTAAAGAATCTTGGTCACTTTGGATACGATTTACATCAACTGCTGCCAGGCCCAATCTAGTTTCTCCATTTCTATTTTAGGGCCAGAAATGTCATTCAGTGTTTGAGCTAGAAGGAACCTTAGAAATCATTGATAAACCTGCTTATTCTTCATATGAGGAGAGAAACCCTGAGAAGTGAAGTGACATTTATTTTCACTGAGTTTGTTAGGTGTAATTTTTTTTCCTTTGCAACATTCTAGCAAAAAATAGATATCCCAAACATAAATATTGGGAAATGTGATTAAGTAGATTCTGATATATGATAGACTGGTACACAATGATAAAAATATGTCTGAAGACTATACGTCATATAGAATGTTTACAATATAAAGTTAGTATAAAAATCAGATTTCAATACAGCATCTGCACAATGTGTATATCTTTGTCAAATTATGTGTGTATAACTTTAAGAACTGGAAACAATTTGAGAACATGAATCAGAACAGAGTAGTGAGATTTTGAGACATGGGTTCTTTTAAAAGTCCCCTTGTTATTGTTAATGCTTGTCCATCAATTTAAAAAACTCTTGTCTTTCACTAAGGAACTGATACTTTAATTCAGATAAAAGTATGTGCTAGAAATCTTAGTCCATATGCTTCATGATCAATAAATATAAATTTATTTTCTGTATCTAAAATTAATTTCTCTATGGGTCCCTTTTCTCCTGAATCTCAGTCAGCCCAGGGTGTTCCCTGCTTCATTGAGGAATCCCATCCTTATTCATCTTCTTTTTTTTTAACCTTATTTTTTTTTTACTGAAACATAATTAATTGTACATATTTGTGGGGTACAGCATTGAATATCAATACCTATGTGCAATATGTGATGCTCAAATCAGGATAATTAGTATATTCAACCTTACATAATGTAATCATTTTTTGTGGCCCTTTACTAATTTCTTGCTAGCCCCCCCTCCTTCCCCCTTTCCCACTTCTGTTGGCCTCAGTTCTGTTCTCACATTTATTTATTTATTTATTTGTTTCTTTGTTTATTAGCTTCCACTTTTGAGGATACGCAGTATTTCTCTTTCTGTGCCTGGCTTATTTCGCTTAACATAATTTTTTCTAAGTTTATCCATGTTGCTGCAAATGGCAGAATTCCATTCTTTTTTATCGCACAGTAGTAGTCCATTGTGTATATATACCACATTTTCCTTATCCAATCATCTGTCAATGGACATTTAGTTTGGAGCAGAACTCTTGGAACTGAAAGATTCATCCATCATTGTTTATCTCTGTTCTTCAGTTCTAGATCATTACTCCTTCCTTGTTCTTTTATTTATTTATTATTTTTATTTTTGGCAGCTGGCAGGTATCGGGATCCAAACGCTTGACCTTTGTGTATCAGCACCAGGCTCTACTGATTCAGCTAACTCGCCAGCCCCTTTTATTTATTTTTTTTATTTGACATATACTTATTTATGGGGTACAACGTAATGTTTCAATACATGCATACATCGTGATCAAATGATCAAATCAGAGTAATTAGCATATCCATCACCTCAAACATTAATCATTTCTTTGTGGTGGGCTATGTGTAACTTTAAATCCATAAATTCTATAGAAGATATAAAAACTCATTTAAATCTTGACGAATTTCTGGAGGTTAAAAAAAGATTAAAAGGGTTAAAGGACTTTTTAAAAAGTTTTCACAGCCATGGTGTTGGGAGTTATTAAGTTATTCTGATGATCATAAGAAGCTTTCCATTAAAGTCTTGACCCTCCTTGTATTATTATTAAGGATACAGTAGTTAGGTAACAGTCATAGTAAAGAAAATGATCATCTTGACCATACTGGATACTTATTATGTGCCAAGCACCACTAAACAAACTGTCACCTTATTCAATCCCCGCAACAATCCTATTTTAACAGATAAAAAAAAAAAAAAATGGGGCTTCCAAGGGTTGACTTGCTCTAGACTCAATAATTTGACTCAAAAGGCTTTGAACATTGTGGACACTGCCTTACTTGTTTAACTGCCCAGCTGGGCCACTAAAGTACAGAACAGGTAAAACGCCTGGGAATTTCGGTGAGACTCATCATTTCTTTGGGATGAGGTAAACTCCGCTTTCAACACTCCCGGTCCATAATATCCATATCCACCCTTCACCCTCCACCCGCCCGTGCCTGTCTGAAGCAAGGTCCAGCATAAACTACCAGGACTAAAACGCACTCGACGCCTAACGTACCGTTCCTCCGCTGCCTACCGACGTCTCCTTCTCCCGCCTCCCTCCGGCAGGCCTGCGAACCCACCCATCCGAGCGTGGAGGTACACATTAAGCTTTGGGCGTTTTGGCTCTCCGCGCTTCCGTAGGAGCCTCCGCCTCCGCAGCTGGGCCCGCCCCCTAGCAACGCTCCGGCTTGTGTTAACAACTGGCTGACCCTGGGCGCCTCGCTGGCTATGCTGGCGCCGTCGCGGTGGCCGAGGCCACGGCCGGACCCTTGGGTCCTTTCGCGACTCTAGCAGCTGTTAGGCTGCCTTTCTTTTCCGGTGGCGGGGCCTCTTTGGGCCCCGTGGCTGCGGGCATAGGGTAGGACAGAAGGATCCCCCAGCCCGCCACCGCCGTCAGCCATGTCGACAGGTGAGGCCAAGGCGAAGGCCGAGGCCCAGGAATCCGGTGGCAGGAACAAGTCCAGCAGTCCCCGCCAAATCCCGGTAGTTGGGGTGGTGACGGAGGACGAGGAGGCACAGGTATGGGCAGATGTCTGTGCTTTGGGAGGCGGAGGGTGTGGGGGACGAGGCCTGGGTGCTGCAAGGGCGGAAATGGGGACCCGAGTGGAGACAAGGGGAGCCCGCGGGACAGAGGTTCCAAGCGCACAGCTGATTCCCCCGAGAACTGCGTCGCCTGCGAGGGGGGCTGGCTGTCGTCAACCAACCTGTCGGGGGACTAGTGCTCCGTGGTCCTCTGGAGCGCCTCAGAAAACTGAGTAGGCGAGGCTTTGCCGCGCTTCTTCCAATAGTGTGTCCACAGAGGGACTGGGGAGGAAGGAATCATTCATCTGTTGGTGACCAGATCGCTTTGTTTGCACTGGGCCTTTATGAGTGGGTTCCAGTTACAAGTGATGTTCTTGATAAAGGTGTAAATTCCCCAAAGCTTAAATTTGCTGCTACTAAAGACTGAACCCGGAGGAGAGGAAAATGCTATTAAAATTAAAAATTAAGCATCTTTTTTTAATATGAAACTGGAAGCTGGTTGTTATAGGGTGGGTTGGAGAGAATTGGAAGAGAATAGAATTTGTTTTATTGTGCTTGTATTTGGTTTGGGGTTTGGCTTTGTTATGAATATAAGACTAATTCATTCAATTTGGCCTGCTGAGAAATTTCACTTCAAGACCCTCGCTTGGATCTCCGTTCGTGGTAGAGGTATTTAGAAACCCCAAGTCATTTGTTTCATACTAGGGTTCCATTGCTCCCCCGGAGAGCCATGATCGTACCTTAAAACCGTGAATTCTATGGAGGAATACTGCTCTGCCTCACACTAAGGGCATGGGGCCACTGCGGGAATTCCTGTTGAGGCTTCGCAAGTCCCAGGCCGCGTCAGGAACCCTGCCTCTTGCGTCCACATCCTGGATCCTTGGAGAGTTCCTTGGGAGTGGCCAGTTGAGTGGGGACCTCTTCTATTGTGGAAATAGGGTTGAGCTCTTAGAAGATAATCAGACATTTACACAGTAACCTGCGGAGCAACAGCACTTTTTTATGGGGGAGCAAGTGTTAAGGGAATTTACCTAATCGGTTTTGTGGACGTATTCCAATGTGGGCGGGGAGAAGAACTTTGATGAAGGATAGCTCGCCACTCCCAAGGCTTCAAGGAAACTCAACGCTACCAGTATACTCCAGGCACCGTGCAAAACTAAGAAGCAGGTGAATTTGGTAACTGGTAACTGATGGCTCTCATTCCTCCTTTACTTGGTGTTAAAAAAAAAAAAAAAAAAAAAAAAAAAAACTTTTAATAGATCATTGCCAAAATGGCCCACAACATACCAAGTAAAACAAGTATACCTGTGTAAATGGGTATATCTGCGTGTATTTTCTCCCTTCTCTTTTCCTTTCCTTTTCTTTTCTTTCATTACTACTTCTCCTTCCAGGGCCTAGGATTCTCTTCCAGGAGGAAATAAATCAATTTACATTAATTCATGTTCATACCTTGTTAATAACTACTTCTAGAAGTATTAACGTTTTTAAAAAATGTACAGTACTGAGGTTTCTACCCAAAGAATGAGATAGAATAGGAACTTTTTAGAGTTGGGAGAAATTTTAGTGATCATTTGGCCTCCTTATTTTCTGTTTGTGGTTGCTTTTATAAATGAGGACCCTAAGGCCTTGAGAAGTTAACTGGGAGTTACTCAGCTTTTTTACTCACAGAGTGGGGTTTGGAGTTCCTAGAATGATAAAATGATAACCTTTAGACCTCTGCCTCAGGTCAGTGGAGGAAAGAACTTGGGTACCCTAAATGTTTCCAGTCCTTTCAAACCATTCCACATTTGCAAACTTCTCCTTTGCCAGTGCCTGAGAGACAATATATTCTAGTGGCTGAAAGTGAGGGTGTGAAGTCTACTTCAGTTCATTGAGCCAGCTCCATCACTTACCAGGTATGTGACCAAAGGCATGTGTCTTAACCTTTCTGTGAAATGGAGATAATAATAGCACTCATGTCCATTGTAAAGATTAAATGAAATAATGCCTCTAGAGAACTTATACTGTGCCCTGTATGTTGAAAATATGCAGTTATCAATATCAACATCATCATCATCATCCTTTATCTAGGGAGCTAGAGCTCCTAAAATTATTTGGACCCAAAATTCTCTGGAATTATTATTTCCACTGGCTTCTAAGATGTGAAAGTGAGACTGGATCCTTCTGAAATAATACTTGCTTTAATCCAGATTTCAATCTGCTCACTTTATCCCTTCAGAAGTGTTTCTAAGTGACAGCTAGAGATTTCCTAATATAGAAATGCCACTTTGGCTACCTGTGCTTTTGATAAATGTTTTGTATCATTTTCCTTATTACAGACCTAAGTTTGAGGCATTTCAGTTACCCTAAACTGAGTTTATATAATTGGAGAAATAGTGTTGAATGTTGTTACCTAAGGCAGCAGGTAAAATGTGAAGGTTATTTTGCACATGTTTTTAATATACTTCAGTTCTGCCTTAAGTAATATTTTTTTCTTCATCTTTCAAAAAAATAACTTTTGTAGCAATTATTAGTATTATAATCTCTAAATACTATGTAAGCTACCACAAATGGTAGTTGCAGAATATTAGATTTTTATAACTTTATTAACTTTGAAATGGTCATCAATGGAATTATGGAAAATGTAAAGATAGATTATAAGTTTGAAGATAGTAGTAAATAGAGAAACCAATAGTTTAGGAATCCATAATTTTGAGTCATATTTTTTGTTCCATGTTATGATCTTCACAGAAAGATATCCTACCTAAGCACTCTATCTTCTGATTTTCTCTCTGTAAAAATTTTGATAATGCCTGCTGTAATGATTCCAAAGCCTTTTTAAAATAAAACTTATTTATCATACTTTTCAGATTTCAAAGCAATAAAATAGTACCAGGATTTTGGTGGTCATTTTCTAATTGTCAGAAACCCAGGGCAAGTTGCTCACTTTTTCTAAGTCTTGGTTTGCTCATCTGTAAAAGATTTTTGGAAAATGTCTGCCTCATAGAATTATTGTAAGAATTAAATTTTAGAGTATTTGTAAGGCATTTAGCACAGTGCTCAGCACACACATTGTTAAGAACTCCGTAAATGGTAACTATTTTGGTTATTATTAATGACTCTAGTCATGACAGCTTTCATTATTGTTATTATTTTAAAATAAATTCAAATTATATGTACAGGGTATGCAAATCTTTACTAGGTGAGTTACTAGGTAAAGAAAAACAGAAAGGTAGTTCTCAAAACCCTCTAGCGCAGTGCTTCTCAAACTTTATGTGCATATGGAGCCTATGGAGATCTTAATAATGCAGATTCTGATTCTCTAGGTCTGGAGTGGACCCCAGGACTCTGCTTTTCTAGCACGTTTCCGGGTGATGCTTGTGCTGCTAGTTGGAGGGCCCTATTTCCCACTTTGAATAGCAATGTTTAGTGTATTACAGCTGCAAGATGGCATGAACAGTAGCTACAGAGTTTCACAACTATTTCCTGGAAAGCTGTAGGGGAGATGGTTTGATGTAGATTCAGATCATGAAGCAATAAACAACAAATTTCAGCCCACCCCCCATCAGATCAAATGATGCGATTAAAACAAGGGAGATTTAATTGGGGCTTTAAAAGAACTACTTGCTTTTCTCTCGTAGCCACTGAGGAGGCTCATTCGATCCTGGATTATCGTCACCTCCTTTGAGTCAGCCATTTGGTTCCCACCTCTTCCTCTCTGCCAAGTCTATTTTCCTTAAACAGCACTTTATCACTTCCTCCCCCTGAGCCTCACCCTCTCTTCCTTGCAGGATTACACAGTAGCTCCTATTGCTTACCTCATCTAATATAATTACATTGACTAAATTACTTAACCTCGTAAGGCGTGTTCCTATTTCTATAAAACCAGCCTGTACTAGATGAGTGTTCCCCAAACCTGGATGACCATTATAGACATCTGAGGAGCATTTTTTTAAAAAAAATGTGCATAGTTGGGCTCTACCACAGATCTACTCGGTCATAATCCCCAGTATGGAGCCTGGGGCTCATAAAAATCTCCCTCAAGTGATTTTTTTAGCCTCAGCACCACTGAGCTAGGTGATATCTAAAGTCTCTGCCCAGCCTAAAGTGCCTCCATTCCACTTGTCTGTCCCATTTTCAAGATTTTCCATTAGATGATTTATACTTTATCTTTGCTGTAAGTTCTACTTAATGCCATCTCCATAAGAGCAGAAACCTTATCTGTTTTTGTTGTTGTTGTTGTTGTTTTTCTGTAGTATTCCCCAGAATATCACCCAGCCCCATACCTGGTACGCGGGAGGTGATATTATGTATTTACTGGATGAATTGTCCTCCCCTATTTTCTGAATATTACTAAAACTTACCCTACCTTCAGATCCTACCTCTCCAACGTGAAGTGCTCCTCCAACAGGCATAACTTCCCCATTATTTTCACCTTCATCAGTCTTCTCCTCATGAATAGCTTATAGTCCTACAGCTGAGTCACACAATCTTGCACCTAATTATCACTTGTTTTATGTTGGTCACTGTTTCATTTGTATAAGTTTTGTCTCTTGCACCAGAATATGGGTTCCTTAAGAGAAGGGAATACGAGGGTACTTCAGAAAGTTTGTGGAAAAATAGAATTAAAAGATAATATGAATCTTTCCATGAACTTCTTGAGGTACCCTCATATATCTCATATATCTTAATGGTTTTGTGTCCTTCCCGGAATCCCTCTACTCTGAGGGTAGAAATTTAAATCCTAGCTTTCAAAGCCTTCTATACTCCAGCCACTATAGCCTCCTGTCTTCTCTTCAAGGATGCCAAGTGTCCCAGCCTAAGGGCCTTTCCACTTGCTGTGCCTACTGCCTGTAATTTTCCCCCTTGATAGCCATGGCTTGTTACCTTACCTTTTTCAAGACTTCACTGAAATGTACCCTCTCTATGAGTCCTTCACTGACTACTGGGTTTAAAATTACACTCCTTGAGCATCTCAGCACTTCCTATCCCCTTTATTTTCTCCAGAGCACTATTATCTTCTTGTATACTATTCAACTTACTGATTTTGTCTCCCCCAAAGCATATCAATTGTTCATGAAAGCAGTAGATTTTGTGTGTCCTATCTTTAGCACCTAGAACAATGCCAGACCCATTGTAGGCTTGCAATAAATATTTGTAGAGTAAATATGTAATTGTGATTAGTTGACTTGCATAGGTTTAATGACTAAGCTTCCTCACCCAAATTTGCTCTCTTTCTGAGAATCTCTCAGAACTTCCACAATCTGCCAGTTGATGTCATATCCTGTTACTGTTTGTAATACTGCTAGAGATGATTTACTTAAAATTTCTTACGCCTGCTTTGGTCTTCATGTTAAAAATAACCTCTGGGGTCAATTGAGGAGTTAGAGAACTAAGATGCATAGAACCAGAGTTTCTGCATCAGACAGACCCACTAACCCATTTACTAGCTATGTGGCTTTAACAAGTTAGGTCTCAGGGCCTCAGTTCATCAACAGGGATAATAGTGCTACCTTTGTATGGCAGACTTTAAGATTAATTGGACATAAGGTACTATACACATGAATGGACCACTAAAATTGTTAGTTCCTTTTCCTATAACCAAATATAAAATGGACAGGATTTCTCCCCTCTGACACATCCCTTGGTAAAGTGGAAAAATAAACTCATTCTGTAACTTGAAGTAGTAGCTATCTCATTTTCTTCAAAGCAGTTCATTAAGCTTCTTATTTTAAAAGGTTTGTGAAATGTTTTTAGAATTTCTCCATAAATATCTTACAATGATAATAATTATTTTGATATTTACATGTGTATCTTCTCTTTTGCTTCTACTCTCTGCTTGTGTGGTCTCATTTACCCAAAATCTTCAATTATCACTGTAAGTATATGATTCAGAAACCTCTGCCCCAAATTTAACTCATCTCCATCCCCAACACTAACCTATTCCTTCAGCATTCCCTGTTTCAGTAAATGGTGAGACCATTTATATAATTCCAGTCAGGCAGTCATTCTCACCTTTTTTCTCCTTTCTCCCACTGCATGCAATCACTTTTTAGGTCCTGCTGACTCTACTTTCTTGATGTTTTTAACTCCGTTCCCTGTTGTCTACACCAGTTGCCACTACCTTAGTCAAGGCCTAAAGTTACAGACTGGTCTTCCACTCCCAGTCTAGTCCTCTCTAGTTCATTCTCTCCACAGCAGACAAAATGATCTTTTTATTATTACATTCTTCTGATTAAATCCTGTGGAAATAAATGAAGACTACCCCAATGAGAATAGACTGTTTATTCAGAGCTTGCTGTAGGGAGTGAGTCAGCCAACATAACTTCTTTGGGCAGAGACTCCAAGTCAGGCAAGGAAGCTTTACAGTGGAAAAAAAGGTTGTGGGGGAGGTGGGGAGGCGGGGAGGCTGCTGGTATGCTCAGACTGGAGGTTGTTACCATGGGGAAGCTGGAGGTGGGCTAGCTAGAAGTAGGGCATCCTATGTGATTGATTTGGAAAGCACATTTGGCTTTCTGCAGTTGGGCATGAGTTGGAAGCTGGAGAGGTGGGGGAGAGGCAGCAAAAATAGGGACACTGACAATCACTGATTAAGTCCTGACTCTTCGGGGCCAATTACTGCAGAGGTCATGGCTTGGCTTCCTGGGCCAGTTGCTGCAGAGGTTCTGGGACAGAGTTCTTTTGTCATATATAGTCTGGCCAATGTCTATTTCAATGTTCAGTCTCAAACCATTCAATGGCTTTTTAAGATTCTTAGTATAACAGACAAAGCCATCTGTAAAATCTCATGCCAGACTGATAGCTCCCTGAGGTCAGGGTAATGTGTTCTCCACACCTAGCACAGTTCCTGAAATAGAAGCTGCTATGTGCAAGGAGGAAAAGGCTGAGGAAGGTAGGGGGAAGAGGGAGAAATCTTTAAAAATATGCCAAAAACGTAAAACACAGAGTAACGTGAAGTTACTTTAATCTTTACTATTTCCTGTTTCTTAAAAAAGTTATACCTGCTCATTTGTGGGGTGGCGGGGGGGAAATTCTGATAATACACACGGGTATTAAAAAGAAAATCCTGCATTGACTTTTCATTTCAATATCCTTGTCTAATCCTCAAAGCAAATATTGCAGAAAATCAGAAAATGAAAACCCATAGATCTGAGGACACAGGAGGAAAAGAGAAAAGACAACTGGGGTAGTGGCAGATGGCACTGCTAAATCCCCAAGTCTTAAAGCAAAATTCTACTTATCAAATTTTTGGTCACAGTAAATTTAACTGTTTAACAATAATATTTAACAATTTTAATGGTAATTATAACACCAGATATAGATAAGTGCTTAGTAAATCCTTTTTTATTATTATTTTTAAAAGTCAAAATCATTTTGAGTAAATAAACTCCTTCAGATACTTATTCTGCAGACTTAAAGGTAGAATGTTTAATTGAGAATTGTCTTTGATAGAAATTTCTTGAGGTCAGAATATATAAGTTTATAATTATGAAAGACAAGGAAATTCTAGACCTAAAACTCAATGTAATAATGACTATGTAGAAATATGGAAAAGTATGTATCATAGATTTAAAACTCAGAAAATGCAATGATGTTAACACTATGTGGTTTTATAAAGTATTTATGCATGTAAACAAAAACAAAATATATAAAAATAAAAATAGATGTATTTAGATGATAGGAATAAGTAGGATTATTTTCCCCTTTTGAACATTTTTATATCAGCATTACATCATCTTTTCAAACCATCATTGTAAAGTAGAAATAAGTTTGAAAGCAGGAAAGAGAAAACTAAGGAAACTGGGATAGGCTAACTCCTGTAATGGGTGTGAGCAATATTGATGTAACATTTGAATTAAAAGAAAAATGTCACACAACAAGGCATTAATTGCCAAGATAAATGTAGCTGAAACTGCATTTAGAATTTGGAGATGTCTCTATCATTATAAGTACTAAAACTTTGGATGATAGCATCCCCTATTTCCTTCCTAACCTATCTGCAAATAATTTTGTTATAAAATGGTATCTTCTTGGTTGCATTTTCTAAGCATTTATTGAGCAAATAACAACACTATATGCCAGGCCCAGTGTTGAGTGCTGGAGATGCCAGAAAACTTTGGGGAAAGAAGTGGTGTACATGTAAACCCTTTCAGACAATGTGATGGGAATTATAATGGGTAGATACTTAGGGTGCTATGGGAGCACAGAGGAGAGACCTTTTTCTAGATACCTGAACTTCATCTTGAAGGACCTGCAGGAATTAATCAAGGAGAGGAATAGGATTGTAACTACATAAGTCAAAACAGAGAAGTGACAGAGGGGACTAATGGGGAGTTGTTGAATGATTGGGACGGGTTATGTTCAGATTTGAGTTTTAATATTCTGACTGTGAAGTAGAAGACAGTGTTTCAGGGTGCGAGAGTGAAGGCAGGAAGAATGGCAGGAAACTGGTGCAAAGTGAGAGATGAGAACTGAATACATCAGTAAGATGGAATGGGCTCAAAAAATACTTAAGAGGGAAAATCTGTAGAACTTGGAGGTGCCTGTTATCAAATAGGGATGGCTGGAAGAAGGCTGGTACCAACTATGAGAAGGGGATACCTAATTCAGGAAGGCAATTTCCTACCTGTAGTTTCAATGCTAGTCTTAAGTATCTACATAGTGAACTTTAGTGTAATGTGTATGCTCACACAAGATAATTTTATTTTTCAAAGTATGAAAGTGCTATTATTCCAAATGCTCTCTTGGGCCTTTCAGGGTTAATGAAACTTAAATACATTTTAAAAAGTAAGATAATACTATAATTCAGGAGGTTTTGTTTGTTTGTTTTTACTACAAAATTTATTTACTCCTATAAGGTTTCATATGTTTTTCATTCTTACCTTACTATCTTATTGTCTTAAGATATTTTTAAGTTACCAAGGGAAAATATATAAAATTAATATGTTTGATGTGATTTCTTAATTCCTATGATATAGAATACTAAGAGTTGTATGTTTTTTAGGGTGTTTTTAAGCCTATGGACCTTAATCGTGTCATCAAACTCCTCGAAGAGACTGATAAAGTGAGTGAGCTTTGAGAAAAAAATTACTCTTCTATATCACTTACAAAGTTTTATTTCCCTGAAAGGTAACATGTATTTCCCCAAAGATAAGTCTCATTTATCTTCTTTTGTTGAAAACATTTTAAACAGTGTATATCTCATATTCAAGGACTTTTAAATTTAGTATGAATATATTTAACAAGGTAGGGAGACTGGAGGAGAATAGATTTGCTTTTATGGGACGAACAAACCCCTGGTGGCTGTAAATGGGAGAGATCTAAGAGTAGAGAAAGGGAAGGGTCCTCTTGTTTCTGTTAATTGCTTGTTACCAAGTAGGATGGGGAGGGAGGGTAGAAAAAAAGGCTATCATGATATACTAATTAAAATGTCCTGAAATATAATCAAGATAGATACACACACATTCACACACACACACACACGCTCATACATATTCATAGATAATTTATTTTGAAAGAAATCTTATATAGAGTGTAAGAGAGTTTAGGCATTGGAAGAAAGGATAATAAATGTGTATGTACACATGTTCACACACCACACTCTCCTGTTACCCAAGAATTGACTGAATGCCTAAAAGCCTGCACACACTATAAAATTATGTGGTAATCTCCAAGAAGATTTCTTATTCTTAATAAGTAGAAAATGGATTGACCATAGTCAATATAGTCTATCAATACTAAACAATGTCCTATGAATAGTAGGCACAAAAATTTAATCATTGTTTTAACATTTTTTTAGTCTCTATTTTTTTTTTGCATAGAAAGAAGAAAAAAACAAAAAAAAATACTTTGTAAGAATAACTTATCTTTTGCTGGCTGTGGTTTTTGTCAAAAGTTATTTTTTAATTGTTATTACATCTACATTTCCTTAAAAAAGAAAACCCAACTTACATAGAGCCCCTATTCACTATTTAGTAAGGCTAGGGGATAAAAAAAAAAAAAAAAAAAAGCCCATTAACCCCAAAAAAGATGTTTTTTTGTTT